TAAAACCCAAAACTATGAAAACTCTAAAAGAAAACCTAGGCAATACCATTCAGGAGATAGTCACAGTAAAGACTAATGACAAAGATGCCAAAAGCAATTGCAACAGAAACAAAAATTGACAAATGGCATCTAATTAAACTAAAGAGCTCTCCATACAAAAGAAACTACCAACAGAGTAAATAGACAACCTACCGAATGGGAGAAAATTTTTTTTTTTTTTTTTTTTTTGGAAACAGAGTTTCGCTCTTGTTACCCAGGCTGGAGTGCAATGGCGTGATCTCGGCTCACCACAACCTCCGCCTCCTGGGTTCAAGCAATTCTCCTGCCTCAGCCTCCCGAGTAGCTGAGACTACAGGCGTGCGCCACCATGCCCAGCTAATTTTTGTATTTTTAGTAGAGACGGGGTTTCACCATGTTGATCAGGATGGTCTCGATCTGTTGACCTCGTGATCCACCCGCCTTGGCCTCCCAAAGGGCTGGGATTATAGGCGTGAGCCACCGCGCCTGGCCAGCCTTTATGTCTTTTTTCCTTCTCTCTAATCTCCCATTTTTTACCAGTAGGCTTTTTTTTTCTCTACTCTCCCCTAACTTCCCATTTTCAGACAACTGTCTTTTTCTAATCCAAGAGTCCAGAGAACTGATAACTCTCCCACAAATGGCTTGCCTTCTCCAGGATTTCTTGCCTTCTAAAAGTGGATACAGATAACTTTAACAAAAAGAGAAGAAAGAATGAGTGGATAATTGTGAAATTCTAAGCCAGAGAGGGCTGGAAGAGTAAGAAGAGGAAGATGATAGGTTTCTGGTGTCTCTAAGATGCCATGATTAGGAAAACTAGTCATTCTGCTCTGTATGTAAGGGCAATTCATACTCTTGCTCATTGAAGCTTCTCAGATACAGGTGCTCCAGAGGAAATGAGAGGTGGGGGGCCTAAGAAGAATTGCCTGTCTGTGTGTAGTATGTAGAACTGGCTAACTGGTGGCCAATTTAGTAGTGATCTGCTGTGGTTTTTATGAAACCTCCCAGAAAAAAAAAATACTACCACCCAAGTAAGATGGTTTTATTCTTTCAATAATTAGGTAGTCTCACTAGAATATAAATTCTTTGGGGATGAATGAAAAATATTAGGCATTCTCTCCATTACTTTGTCTTTGTATTTTACTAAGTTAGCATGGCTACACTGGTAGAGATAGATATTCTAAAGATGATGATTGTAGTGAACAAAACAATAAACCCTCCAAAAATGTCTGTCTCTTAGTCCCTGAACCTGTGAATGTTACCTTACATAGCAAATGGTACTTTACAAATGTGATTACATCAAGGATCTTGAGATGGGGAGATTATCCTGGATTATCTGCATAGGTCCAATGCAATTATAAGGGTGTTACAATGGAAAGAGGGAGGCAGGAAAGTCACAGAGAAGGAGATGTGACAATGAAGTGATGCAACTGCTGGCTGACAAGAAAGGAGGGAAGCCTCTAGAAGACCACCACCCCAGAAAAAAGGGCAAGGAAAGAGATTCTCCTCCAGAGAATCCAGGAGGAATATCACTCGGCAGACACCTTAATTTTATCCTTAAAAAACTCATTTAGGACTTCTGACCTCCAGAACTGTAAGATAATAAATTGTTTTATTTTAAACCATTTGTGATAATTTGCTAGCAGCAATGGGAAATTAATACAATGACAAAAGTCATGAATGCAGTAACCACAAAGCAGGCATCTGGGCATAATTGCTGGGATGATAATTCCAATCTCTAATCTGAGACCCATTGTTCCTCAGTATGAACACTGGATCTGCACAAAGCCTAGTGTGTTTTGGTTTTGAGTTTGGGGTACTACCCCCTGCCCCCAGTATTCTAGTTTTTACAGACCCACAACACTGCATCACTGAAATTGGCCAAGCTTGGGAATTTTGTAAATTACTTCAGTTAGACTCCTACAAATTCTGGTTCCTAAACTGGAATCCAGGCCCTGGAGAGGTTCTCTCTGCCTGAAGACCAAAACCTCTGCCAGAATAAGTCATTCCTCCATAAATCTGTTGTGCTCCTCACTAGTGGCTGGAGCACCTGATGAAACCTCTGAGGGCCGTCCTGGGCCCCTTGAGTCAACTGCTACCTGGGTTTAGTTACTGTAATTCTCTGGAGAATGCAGAATATTGTTGAATTATATTCAAAGGAAGGAGTGCACATGGTCAAAGTCTAGGTAGAAACTAGGCAGAGAGAAAGATGGGAGGGCAGAGGGAAACAAAGTGGGGACTATTTCTGCGGCCAATGCCAGGCTGAGGCAGGTGGCATTTTATGCCCCAGAGCTAATGATTCCCACCCACATTCCAATCTTAATAAATCCAACAATGCTATCACGTGTGCTGAGCATGCTAATCACAAAGTAAAAATCAAATTTAGGATACCTATTTTTTAAAAATTAAATGATTGACGAACGCGAGTCTCAGTGTATATCTTTTATCACGTTCATTCACCTATTCACCAGAACTTCAGAATGTGTTCATTATCAAACTGCTCCCTTTTCTGAAAAATGAAGCACAATGCAACTATTGAACATAAGATTCAGAGCTGGGCATTGTACTAGACACATATTTTTAATCTGTGTAAAACACCTGAGGTGATTACTATTATCCAAATTTTAAGATGAGGAAAATGTGTTTAACCAGATTAAGTAACTAGCATAAGGACTCACTTCTGGAAGCAGGGATCCTACTTGTCTTTCAGTTCATTTGACCTTTATTTGATATTTGTTTAGTATCTACTGTGTACTAGCTCTGTTCAATGTGTTGGATACAGCAGTGAACAAAACAGACAAAATTTCTGTCCTCAGAATTTACATTCCAGTGTGTTGTCAAGACCCTGGGTTTATTTTATTAATATCTTATGATATTTAGTCATATACACACATCATAATACTCCACTCAGATGGAAGCTTCATTCTAATCAGCATCCTAGTTGTACTTTCCTTGGGGATTTGACTTCAATTCTCAACATAAGCCAAATGGGAGTTCTTAAGTTCAGAGTTCCTGTTAATTTATGTTTTGACAAGAAGAGCTGGAATTATGCATTTATGGTTCAGGTTTTATTTCCATGATTCCCAAAGGCTAACAGCCAATTGTGAGTTTCTGATGGAGAGCATCTACCTTCTGTTTTGCAATTTAAGGGCCTGAGCAGCACTAGGCCAGGATCAGGCAAAGCAGCTGACACATGCTGGAAGTTCTTTCAGTGTTGAATCCAAGCTCTATTTGAATATGTGAATTCAAACAATTATTTCATATTGTAATCCCTACTGCTCCGACAGTAACTTTTAACATTACTTTTCCATGCTGCCCAAAGTTCAGTGGAATTTCTATGAAAATGAGATTTTCACTTTTAAAATATTTTAGCAGTGAGTAGAACTGCTACCATGATTAAAGCACATAATAAAGCAGATTAAAATTTCTTAGCACCCATAGAAATAGAAATACCTTGGCTAAAAAGCCCTGAATCACAAGCATGCTTAAAAGTATCAGACAGAAATCTTGGAGCAGCCTGCCACCTTCAGGATAACTTCCCAGTTAACTCTATCAGAGATCACTGATTTCAGCTTCTATAAATTCCAAATACCGATCCCTGTAAACATGTTTTGTTATAATTAAATAAGGGGCATTTAAATGAGAGTGGCTGAAGCTGTCTTTTTTGCAGTACTTTTGCTATGATTAAGCATTATATTTAATGATAGCATTAGTTTTCTTCTTCAAAAAAAACTGTCCCTTCATTTTGGTTCTTTATTCTTGTTTTATTATTATTCTATTCGATTATCTTTACAACAATATTTTCTTACTTTAAACTGGTTAAAAACAACCACTCTACTTTGTTCTGCTAAGCAGAACTCAGGACACTAAAAACAGATTTGCAGTCACAGTGAAAGAAATATTGTAACTTCGGAAATCCTGCTACTTCCTTCCTGATGGGTTTTATTGTAGATTAATAGCAATATTTCTCTAAAGAGTCTTAAAAGCAGCACTAAAGTAACCCATTCAGCAAAAGGAGAGAAAGAGAGAAAGGTGAATTTAACACTCGTTTTTTTGGTGGAGGTTTTTTTTTTCCCTCCCCGATGTCTTATTGGCTGTTCTTTTCATTAAATTGCAGAGGCTTAAAAAAGAATGCGGAAGGCAAAATAGAAGAGAAATAGGAGAGGGAATGACTCAGCATTTAGTAGTATGGAGAAATAAATTAGCAGCAAAAATAAGAGAAAGGACAGCATAACTAAAATCGATACCAGTACGTCAAATGAGAACGGGATGTAAAAAATAATGGAAAAAGAGAATGCAGTGGCTTGAAAAATACATCAGGCGGGGGGGGGGGGGGAATAAGAGGCATTTAAATGAGAGTGGCTAGAACAAATATTCATCGACAATGAACTTCCTTTCATTATTTTCCTTTCACAAAAGCGGGAAAGGGCAACTTGAGAGCCCAGTGTAATCCGTTCCATTTTTATCGGCTAGCGCTTTGGTAGCATGGCCCCGTGAAACAACTTAAAGGTCAATTTCCTTACAACTTTGATTTTCAACTTTTCACTGTAACTTTGGAATCACGTGGGAAGTCTTATCCAATGGTGGGCCTCACTCCACAAGAATTAAATCAGAAAGTCTGGGGGTAGTGCCCGGCACGGAGCTTTTCAGAGCTTGCCGGGTGACTCCCTCGGGGTTCCAGGGCTGAGAGCATCCGTGGCTCGGATGACATAAGCACTGTCCCTCCCGCCGGAAGCGGCGCCGGTGGGAGCCGCCACGCGCCCCGAAGGGAGGGGCTCCCTTTCAAATACCCTTGGCGGAGAATCGGTGTGTGGCCTCCCGACCGCTAGGGGGCGAAGGGCACGCATTTACGCTCTCTCGACCGGGCACATGTGCGCATGCTCCAGGCGCCCAGGAAGTTGTTCCCCCCCCCCCCCCCCCCCCCCCCCCCCCCCCCCCCCCCCCCCCCCCCCCCCCCCCCCCCCCCCCCCCCCCCCCGCGCCCTTTGCGCCGGTGTTTCCTCGTGCGGCGTGAACCTGAGGACATCATGTTATGAAGAAATGGGGGGTTTGGTGATTCGCGGGATCAGAAATTTCAACGTAGAAAACAGAGCGGAGCGGGAAATCAGCAAGATGAAGCCCTGTCCCGCTCCCAGGCACCCTTCTACCAATAGCCTCCTGCAAACGCAGATGGGTGGTGAGTGGTGCGAGGGTGTTTCGGGGCGCGGGGGCGCGGACTCCCTGTGTTGCTCGGCTGTGCCACGCATGGACTGCGTGTGTCCGGAGGTCTAGGGACCGGCGTTCAGCTTGCTTGGCCGCGGCCGCTCCGGTCGGCGGAGCGCTGGAAGGGGAGCCGCCAGGACTATGACTTTGAGACTGCCCTCCGCGCCCGCAGTGAGGCGGGCGGTGCCGCCTACTTCCGAGTCCCGCAGGCAGCGGCCTGTGCCCCGGCTAACCCTGCCCTTGCCTGCTCTCGTCACGGACTTGATACAGGGAATTAAAATCCGAGAGGGTCACAGAAGTTTCTCTAGGGTTCTTCACTGGACGATGGACGCCGAGCCTGACCTGGAATTTTGATTTCCATTTGAAGTATTTTCCTAACAGTCCAAATGATTATGTTTATTTTTTTAAAAAAAAATTAAAGTGGTTCGGGCAGGCTCGGTGGTTCACGCCTGTAATCCCAGCACTTTGGGAGGCCAAGGCGGGCAGATCACGTGAGGTCAGGAGTTCGAGATCAGCCTGGCCAATGTGCGAAACCCCATCTCTACAAAAAAATACAAAAATTAGCCGGACGTGGTGGTGCGCGCCTGTAATCCCAGCTAGTCAGGAGACTGAGGTGGGAGAGTCTCTCGAACTCAGGAAGCGGAGGTTGTAGGGAGTTGAGGTCGCGCCACTGCACTACAGCCTGAGCGACAGAGCAAGACTCCGTCTCAAAAAAAAAAAAAAAAAAGAAACTGTGTGTCTGTGTTACGCGTTTAGGATGTTACAGGAAATTTTCCTTGGTTTTAATATTGTGACTTTTTTCCTTTTCTTAGTCAATCCAGAAATTAAGGGAGAGATTGGTCGTAAAGATGACAAACTACTGTCGTTTCTAAAAGATGTGTATGTTGATTCCAAAGATCCTGTGTCTTCCGTGCAGGTAAATGTGTGTTTAATTAAGTGAATACACAAAATATACAATTTACTTATTTTGGAGCTCCAGGAAAATAAAGTGTGGCAAGTTGTAAAAACAGTACTCTGCAAGTGTCAGGGTTGTGACCAGTCTACCGTGCCTTGGCAAAGTTTAAGCACAGTGGTCTAAGACAGCAAGACACTTAGGCCTTGGTTCATTGGATATTTACGAGAATTCTAAGATAACTTGTGGAAGTATTGATGCAGAGCAACTGTGTGAATTATTTTATAGTATTTCAGAATTTGTAGGATTTGGTAAGTTGTTAACTTCCAGTGGTTGTTATTTGAGTGACAAAAGCAGAGCTGTAATATTTTCTTGTTCTTCTCTGAATTGAGGTATGTTATAATCTCAGATACTCCTTTAGTGGTGTTGCTGGGTTTTGTGGGGTTCTGTTTGGTTTTTTTTTTAAGGATATATTCAGATAGGATATTTAAAATTGGGAGAAGGATCAAAGAATACATTGGGAATGGGAACCTATGTGTAAATCTATATACTGTATTATGTAAGTCCTGGGCACAAGTGCTTTGTGTATAATGATGAACAAAACTAGTCCTTGCTCTCACAGGGCTTATGATGTTGTGAAGGACACAGACACTAAGCAAATAAGCTACGATGTGACCATAAATACATAATTATGGGAAAAGTATGGGCACTATTAGAGTATATTGGAGAGACCCCTTTGAAATTAGAGGATCAGGGATGGTTTCCGAGTAAGTAATAGTTAATGTTCAGGCCTGTGGGATCAGTTGGAGTTAACCAGATGAGTTTGTGGGGGCAGGAAGATTCTAGTTAGGGATAAAGGTTTGATTAAAGGACAAGGAAATGCCAACAACTTCCAGATTTTTTTTTTTTCATTGTAAATATTTTGGTACTGTCTTTCTGTCTCTGGATATTTGCACAGATAGAATTATTAATATAATTTTCTCTACACAGAAAAAATAAAACAAAAATTTGTAAATTATTAGACATAGTAGTAATTGTAGGGTTCAGTTATCACTAAATGCTCACATTAAAAAGGCATAGAGTTAATGTCTGTGGCCTTTATGTTATTTTAAAATAGGTGTTAAGTAATACTTCCCAAGTATTCTTTCTCTTATGTTACTTAATTATGCATCTGAAAATTCACTCTTGGGAGCAAAAAAAAAATTAATACTTTTTATGTATAAGACTCAGTTATACGTATAATACATAAAGAGATACGTATATGGTGATACTAAAATTTCATGGGGGCATTAGGAAAAGTCTGAAAAGATTCCTTAGGGGAAGTGATAATGAAAACTGGAATTGCCCGTTATTTATGTTCTTTGTCCCTTTCTTTCCTTCTGGCATTTCATAGTGTTCTTAATGATTTGTGATGCCTCAGGACATCAGTGATACGGTGCCTTTCATATGGCAATAATTTATTTGTTGTCTGACTTTTTAACATATTTATTCAAAATTCTGTCAAATATTTCAGTCTTTTTGTTTTTCATGGTAAAGGAATACTGGGCCCACTCTACCATCATATAAACTCTTCTGTATTTTCTTCTAGTAGTTTTATAACTACATTTTATATTAAAATCTTTATCTGGCATTAAATGTGGTTTTTGATGTGTGGAAGAGATCAGTTGAACCTTTTTTTAAACAGATGGCTAGTTGTCTAAATATAATTTGTTGAATAGCCCAGACCTTTCTCCACTTACTTAAAATGCATCTCCAGATACACATGTCTACTATTTATGGACTCATCAGTTTTACTTATTTTTCTATTTTTGCACTAGAACCATAGTTTTAATTAATAGAACTTTATAATGCGTGTTGGTATCTCTTATAACCTTCTCTCATTCTTTTAAAAAGTTTCTTGTCTCTTTTCACACATTAATATTTTTCCAGATGTATTTGAGAATGAAGTTGTCGAGTTCTTTAGTAAGTCCTGTTTGGATTTTTAGTATAATTGAATGAGAATTTATGGATTAATTTGAGGAGAATTAACATTTTAATTATTAAGTCCTTGAAGGGTAAAGGGAATGTTGCTACTATGATGGGATCTTTTTTCACTTTCAGTTTTTTAAACTGTTTATTGCTAATACAGTAGTCTTATCAGGGATAGGTTCCAAGGACCCCGGTAGATGCCTGAAACTGAGGGTAGCACCGAACCCTATATACATTGCTTTTTCCTATAAATAAAGTTTAATTTATAAATTAGGCATAGTAAGATATTAACAACTAATAATAAAATAGAACAATTAACAATTTCAGGGTTAGAGGATTCATTCTTATTATCCATGTTAGCACTTTCAGCATATAATTTTTTTTCCCTTATTATGTCAATAATTTTCACCTTTTCACTTAAAGGAAGCACTTTATGGCTTCTCTTTGGCATAACTGAGTTGCCAGTATCACTGCTCTTGTGGGGCCTTTCTTGATAAAATAAAGGTTACTGGAACACAAGCACAGTCATGTCGCATAGTCTGATAACCAGAATGGCTACTAAGTGACTAACAGGCAGGTAGCCTGTACACCGAGGATACACTGGACAAAGGGAGGATTCTCATCCTAGACAGGATGCAATGGATAGCATAAAAATTCATTATGCTGCTCAGAATGGTTTGCATTGTTTACTACTGGAGTTTTTCATTTAATATTTTTGGTCTGTGGTTGACTTTAGGTAACTGTAACTGTAGATAAAGCCAGAGACTACTGTATATCAGGAAGTGAGTGGTTTTTATAGTGTAGCTACCCACATTGCTAGGTTATTCTGTTAGGCTTTCAGTTAATTCTGTTTTCTAAAGATATTCTTATATCTATATAGAATTATAAATTTCTCTTTCTAGTATTTATACTTAATTCTTTTGTTGTGTTGTATATAACATTAACATGCCAGAGAAAGTAGGCATTCTTACCTGTTCCTTCCATAGGATGTCTCAAGTGTTTCAGCATGATATAATAAAATGATACTTGTTTTCAGTTAAAAAATATTTATATCACACTTGGGATATTTTCTTCCATTTTTAATTTCCTAAGGGGTTTTTTTCTTTTTTTTTTTTTTTTCAGTAAAGAGAGGGTTTTGAATATTCTTAGATATTTTTTGTGTCAAATAATTATTATTAATTTTAATATTTACTATTAATTAGGAAATCTGAATACAGATGTGTTTGGAGTGAAAGGAAGATCTACCTTACCTGGGAATAGGAAAATGAGAGAAGCTTTGAGATTTGAAAAGTGAAGAAATTGAGAAGAGTGTTTCAGGCCCAGTTTGCAATATAAAGATATAAGAGTGTGTGATGCCTTTGAGGAATGGTTAGAACTCGGATGGGCGCTGTGGCTCACGCCTCTAATCCCAGCACTTTGGGAGGCCGAGGCGGGTGGATCACGAGGTCAAGAGATCGAGACCATATTGGTCAATATGGTGAAACCCCGTCTCTATTAAAAATACAAAGAAAAAAATTAGCTGGGCATGGTGGCGCACGCCTGTAGTCCCAGCTACTTGGGAGGCTGAGGCAGGAGAATTGCTTGAACCCAGGAGGCAGAGGTTGCGGTGAGCCGAGATTGTGCCATTGCACTCCAGCCTGGGTAAGGAGCAAAACTCCGTCTCAGAAAAAAAAAAAAAAAAGAAAACAGTGCAGTTGTGGGAAAATGTGAGGTGTGAATTTGGGAGAAGTGAGTTGGGATGGAGAAACAGATCAGATAGGAGGTATTTGCAGTCATTTCTCCAAGAGACATTGGCTTGGACTAGGGTGATTTACCAATACAGGGAGAAGTGAATGGGTTTGAGAGAGACATGATGCAGTATCAACAGGATTTGGTCACTGATTGGCTATAATGAGTGAGGGAGAGGGAGGTGCAGGTATAATCTCATTTTTGGCATGGGAGGTGGGTGGTATTGGTCATTGAGATTGAGGATGTGGGAGTAAAACTGGTAATAAGTTCAGTTTCAGATACATTTAATTTGAGGAGCACATAGGTCATTTGAATGGAGATACCTGTTAAGCATTTGGGTTGGGAAATCAAGAAAAGGTCTAGGTTTATGATCACAGCTTTGGAAGTAATTAACATGTAGGCAGTAATGGAAGTTAGGGAAGTGTGAGATTACTTTGGAAAAATGTGTAGAGTGAGAGGAAGGCCTGGGCACTCTTAAATGTCACACACTGACATTTAGGGGTAAGCAAAAGTGTCCATGAAAAAACCCCCAAAGGACCCACCGAAAGAACAGATGGAAAACTCTGAGAGGGGTGGCATGGAAACCAACGGAGAAGATAGTTATAGGTACATTGGTGTGGTCAGCAGTGTCAGGTGCAGTGAGATGCTGTAGTGAGCTCAAATAAGATCTAAAAAGTGTTCTCTGAATTAAGCAACTAGGCAGTCATTAGAGATCACAAGCAGTATTTCTTTTAAACATTAACCAAAGAGAAATAAACTGGTAATAAAAGAGGTGTTGGTTTTGGGTTTGGTCGGTATGTTAAAAATGGCACTGGCTATGGCATTTGTTTGACCAAAAAGCAGCGGTAGGCACAGTGCAGTAAAACAAAGGAAAAGAAAAAAAAAAAAGAATGATAGGTGTGGCCAGGAAACAGGATTGGAATGCAGAGCACATGTGTGGTGGTTAAGCTGGGATGGGACAGATAGATGGAAGGATGGGTGTGCATAGGTTGTTTTATTTATACTGGAGTGTATTGGAGGCATTAGTTTATTTTCTCAGAGGAGACAAGATCACTCACTATTCAAGGTGTTTGGGGGCATTGAGTATGAAATACAAAGCTGGGAAATGAATAGATGTTATCAAGCCAGCTGTTAGGGTGGCATCAGAATCCTGCCCTTTTAAAACAGGTGCAGTTTTTAATCCTTTTCATTGTGCTTTTAAAACGCATGAAATAATGTGGTGAGTGGATAGTATAAATTTGATTATTATTTTCTAGAGCTACCTATATTTCTTAATAATGATAGAGCTATAGTTAGGAGAAGGCAATGTGGCAAAAGTACAATTAAACTATTGCTCAATGTAAGAAAACGAAGTTTGGGAAATCACGTATAGTATTTGTGTTAGTTCATTCTTGCACTGCTATAAAGAGATACCTGAGACTGGGCAGTTTATAAAGAAAAGAGGTTTAATTGGCTCACAATTCTACCAGCTATACAGGAAGGATAATGGCTCCTGCTGCCGGGGAGGCCTCAGGTAATTTATAATCATGGCAGAGGGGGAAGCAGGCACAGCTTATACGGCCAGAGCAAGAAGAATAGGGGATGTTGGGGAGGTGCTACATACATTTAAACAACCGGATCTGGTGAGAACTCTATTACGAGAACAGCACCAAATGGGGAAATCCACTCCCATGATCTAGTCACTTCCCACCATGCCCTACATCCAACATTGGGGATTACAGTTCTGTGACATGAAATTTGGGAGGGGACACAGATCCAAATCATATCAGCTGTTATTTGAAGAGGAATAGTGTAGATTTGAGAAGTGTGAAAGTAGATGTCAAATCTTTTCTCTCATGCTTTTTTTTTTTTTTGATACTAGGTAAAAGCTGCTGAAACACATCAAGAGCCAGAGGAATTCAGATTGCCAAAAGGCCGAGACTTTGATATAATAAATATTAAGAGCATTCCCAAAGGCAAAATTTCTATTGTGGAAGCATTGACACTTCTCAATAATCATAAACGTTATCCAGAAACATGGACTGCTGAGAAAATAGCACAAGAGTACCTTTTAGAACAGAAAGATGTGAATTCTCTTCTTAAATATTTTGTTACTTTTGAAGTCAAAGTCTTCTCTCCTGAAGACAAGAAAGCGATAGAACCAAAATGAAGAAAATCACAAAAATTTGCTATGTGTACTCCTCATCTTTCATCCTGTATATTTTCTCATTTTTTGCATATTATGTTAATTACCAAGTGTTTCATGCTTTTATTGTGAGAACATACTCTTAATGTTTATTGAGCTCCCTGACTTTTCAAGATTGCCATAGCATGTATTTTGTTTTCTTTTAATTTTGTTTAGGAATATTTCATGTGTACATGTCAGCATGACTATCGGCACATCTGTACCTTTATTATAAGTAAAAGAATTAATGTGTTGTTTTAGGTACATCATGCCAACTTTTAAATTGGTCATACGACCCCTTGGGAAATGTCCTGAATCCCTCATTTAAGTTTTACTTTCCATGTTAAGTGTTTAGTTCATTCTTCATATGTGATAGTGAAAATAAAAGCTTTCCTGACTCTTAAACTGTTATTTTTTTTGTCAGGGAAAGACTCGATAGCAAGGTACACTAACAGTATTTCCCAAATAAAGGCACACAGGAGAAAAGAACGAATCAATAGAATCTAATTAAAATTACTACTCCAGGGAGTAAGAAGTACTGAGGATTTATTTTATTTTGATTTGGTTTTAAGTATGGAATAATTGTCTTTAAAGTTATAAAAATTAATTTGTGGTGTTTACAAAATGTTGGGAATTTCTCCTTTGACAAAGAGGTTAGTCCCATGGCCTTCAGAGAGGCAGACAGCAGTAGAAACTTTTGAAAAAACATTTCTCTGGATTTAACATGGAAATAGAAAAATTAAAAAAAAAAAACTTAAAAACCATGAAAATGAAATTTGGTGATTATATATGGTTTCAAATGTTGACCCTAGTGGAGAGAAGAGAGAAAAAAATAGCAAGTAGAAGCAGAGAACAGGATCATTGGAAGGGACCCGAGAAATTGCTGCTTCATCCATTTTAGCAAACTTGTTAGCGCAGCACGTAGGATCTTGAGTGTGTATGAGTTTAGCTCTGCCTAAAATATTGCTACTTGTGGGATCTTTTGGGGACTATATCCTCTTTGAGATTGAATTTCTTCTATAAAATTAGCCTAATGCTATCTTACTTAAATTTAAGGGTTATCTGAAGATAAATGAAATAGTAAAGGACTACTAAGGACCAAGCAAATATGAATTCTCTTGCTGTGGAGAAACAAGCACGTGGGGAGAATATATGACCTAAGTTGTCTGTAGTTTATTACCTGACCAGGCCGGGGATTTAGTTTTTCAAATTCTAGTAGTGTGTTTTTTCTGTTGAGCCAAAAAGCAGCACACCTCAGAGAAGAGAAAAGGTGTGAATTGTGAGTATATTGGGGTTATCAGTGTGCTTCTGAGGGAAGATAGGCATCTATTCCCAGAGATGCCCCTGGAAATGATACAGAATATGCTGAAGAATTCAACATGATGATTGAATGAGGCATTTGTAGTAATGCTGAAAACAGAAAAATAGACTAAGTGGAAAATTTGTAGGCATGTCTTTGTAGATTTGTTATGGGAACAAACTACCTAGTTTATTTTTAGTTCAATACAATATTAAAAACATGAAATAATGACTTAGTATAAAATGCATTTAAAACTCCTGTAGATCACTCAAAACTTCATTCCTTTTATAATGGTCACTAGTTGAGTCACTAATACTAGTACACTCTATTTCTGAGTCGTCTTCTCTATTCATATCTATATTGTGTGGTTAGGCAGCTGTTATGTGGTGTCACATGATAAAGGACTTCTTCCCATACCATTCATCAGGCCTACTATACTGCCTTTTATTATGTATAGGAGAGCACCTGGTAGCAGTGATGTCAGAAAATGCATGAAATTTAGATTCAGAAAACATGGGTTTAGATCTCAGGATCACCACTAGCCATGCCATCTTGGAATTGTCCTCAACTGTAAAACAGGTCATAATTACATTTAAAAGTAATTACTGTAGTAGGGACTGATGAAGTGCTTTACATGTATTAACTTGCTTAATACTTATCATAGGTACAAGGATAAGTAATTAGATGTATTTTAGAAGCACAGAGAGCATTAGTAACTTCAAAGTTTACTTAGTAAGTGTAGAAGCCTGGATTTAGTCCTGTAAGGTTATTTTCAGAACCTTTTGCTCCTAACTGCTACACTATGTTGCCTTTGTAAGATTATGATAATTAATGAGATGTCATGAAAACTGCCTGGGACATAGGCCAGGACTAGTCAATGTTCACTGTATGTGAGAATCACCTGTAGAGCTCTGGGAAAACTACAGATGTCTGCTATGAGAGGCTAGTGTAATAAGTCTGAGAGATTCCTGGGTTGACGGATTCTGGATCAGAGGTGTTTTAAAAATATTTAAGACCAGTGCCACCAGTATGGTACAAATTGCTGACCACCTGTGCAGGTGAAATAGCATTCTCTGGTCTAAAGTTTGTGAAAGATGGTAAGGATCAGGGAATAGACAGAAGAGTGATCTTGAAGGATTTTGAAGAAAGAAAGCTTTCCAGGTGATGGAAGGGAGAAGGAAAGAATTTCAGGAGATTCAAAGATTTGGGGATAAGGTCAGGAGAGGAGGGAAGGCGGTTAATAGGCTGGGCAGGAGACCCAGGATCCAGGGAATTGATCGAGGAAAGGCTCCCAAGAAGGGAGAACATTCTGCAGAAAAGTAGGTGCCTCTGGGAAAATTCTACCATAAATAAATAGGGTGGCTATGTAATTTTTTGCCCAAACGAAGACACTTAAAAAGGGACACCAATTACATAACCATAATAGGTATAATAGGCATAAACTGGAATGTCCTCAACAAATTAGGAGGTTTGATCATCCTAACTGCAGGAGGCACTATTGGAAGACTCAACGGCCACCTCCAAGCTGGATGTAACCATCTTATCTCCAACTTGTCAACATTTAGCATCTCATCATTACTCAGGAATGATTCCTATCTGTGCCAGATGTCTTTGCTTTGTTCCCAAATACTTGTGCATGGACATCACTCTTCTGTATTTACTCAATATCCTCAAAATACCCATAATCTCAAGAAAAGGAGAGTGGGGCCCTGAGCATGTAGTTTGAGGAGGCTTCTATACCTCAGCTTGGAAGGATTGAACTGAAGGGCTGGAAGCACCCTGAATTCCAGCTGTGCTTAAAGATAACCTGTTGGGTACAAGTTGAAAATATACAAGAAAAGAACAAGTACGAACAATTAAAATATTTTTATGCACCTCAAATAGCCATCACTGATTGCTTGATAACTATCTTGTCCTGACAAAGACCAATCTATAAAACAGCCTGAGAGAAGGAATTTTTTTTTTTTTTTTTTTTTAAGTCTGGATGCTTTTTCTTCTGCTTTAGAAGTAATAGGGCTGGATTACTTATTAGGAGAAATGGTGAAAATCAGAGGCACTTATTAGGTATAAATCCCTATGCCTTAAATTCAGAGCATTTGGGTTGCAAATTCCATGTACTCCCATATATATTTTTTTTTCTTTTTGCCGCCACTGTCAGTGCCCCAACAATAAAACTAAATCTTGGGAGCACTTGTGAATAGAATTGTAGAAGAGTGGCTCACTAGCTAGAAGAATACAATCCTGAGCACAGCTGGAGTTCTGTGATTTTTCAATGTATTGATATTCTAAAGTATATAGTAGGTAACATCAAAATTGCTATCTTGTCTGCTTCCTGTGAGGAAAAAGGTAACAGAAGAGTTATTGTAAAGATAAATGATTTGGGAATATGGATTTAGTTAAAATGAGACAAGCAGTACCTGGGAATTGAGAAGTAATCCCTGAGACGAATTGGATTACAGTTGATGAGCAGGAAAATTTCTCAGTTACATGAGAGATAATAAACTTTGGAAAGGTTATCTAATTCTTAAACAGAAAAGTTACCTGACAATCAACTCTGTTTATGGTTCAAATGCAAGCAAAGTAATAATTTATGTGTAGGATTATTGACATCCACATATGGAAATAGAAGGGGCCACTGAAGAAAAATAGATCAATTTCTAAAATAGGCCTTGGGCCTTTTTTTATTTCCAGAAGAATGTATATTGATTAATACAAATACATACATATTTGGTAGTAGAAATTCCATTTAGAGCTCATGATATTTGAGCAATTTTGCCATGTTTGTCTGCTTTATAGCATTTTGTATGGAAAATATCAAAGCCAAGGCTTTCTCTGAATGTCTTCCTGCATTTCAGGGTAAGCATAACACAAATCACCTAATATTTTGACTGAACTATATAATGATTACTACATTTATTGTACAATTAGTTCAAATTTCCTTTTATTTTTCAATGATCTCGTTACACAACCAGGTGTTTTTGTTTATTTGTAACATACCAGTATGTTTCTGTATAATATTTAAATTTTACTTTTTATTTCACTTTTACTTGTTTTCAGTATATGGCATTATGATTTCACATATCTTTATATTGCTTGGCCAGTATAGTAGCAGATGCTGTGTTTTAATTGCCCAGGTAAGAAACAATACAAATGAGCTCCTATTTATTATTCACGTTATTTTTAGTATTTAGGGATTTAGGGAAATCCTTGCATAGAGTCATAGAATATTCAACTCTGATTGACTCTATTTATTGCTCCTCAGGCCATCATCCAGTCATTATTCAGTCATTTCTGTATCAGTCTTTCTTTCTGGTGCTGGCTTGGAACTGATGCTGTGGCTTCAGATAAGGAGCACGGAAATGGGGGAAAAGCCATTTAAAGGGAGACAGAGACTGACTGATTACATTTTGTATTACAAATATTTCAGAAATCCTGCAACATCACCAAAGCAAAGGAGTACCTTGCCTCTTATTGTTCTTTTGTTGCATCTTTTTCTTTCATCACTAACCCTGTTACTTCTGGAGGAACAGCAAAACATAAGACAGAAGGTTTTTTAAAGACCCAATTTAAGAGATTGTAAAGCCTCGAAACAACATTCTTAATGAAGCCTTTAAATATTTAGGTCATCTCTCCCCTTGCTATCTCTCCCCAGCTTCCCACCCCCCACCGTCCCTCCCCTATTTCCCCCCAACT